ACTATAACAGATTACACGTAATACAGTAACTTTTGGAGCAAGAAAAACCAACCTGAGCAATGGCAGCAACTCGTTCAGCAAAAGTACCATATGCATGGGACAGATGCCTTGCTGCAGCAGTGTCCATCACTGCAGGAACAACTTTACCATGGCTGTTCTTCATGCGCACATATTGTTGAGCTATAACTGTAAAAGATGCAGGGTCCCATCCGTCTCCACCGACGATCTGAAGCTTGGAGGTCAAACATCCATTTTCTGGGGTCAGATTTCCAGACTTTATTGCTGCATTAACCGCATCTTCTGCCATGCTGAAAATTTTCTAGTCAGCAAAATATAAGTTGCCTAGTTTCAAATGGAAAACCTCTTAACTATAAACTAAATCATCTCAGGTCAACCAAATAAACCTTACCCACGGTAAGTAGTCCACTTGCCGCCCGTGATTGTTACCAAACCAGGATAATCTTCACATACAACATGATCTCTGGAGATGCTCTCAGTGCTTTTCGCAGATGGATCCGTTGCCAATGGCCGAATACCACTCCACGCAGAGAGAACGTCTGTGCGGCGTACCTATATTTTCCCAGCAATGCTTTAGTCCCAACAAGACAACTAAATAGAAAAAGAAAGAAGACACCTAGATTGAGTTACAGCATTAAATGTCTTCCACTACTTCCCGCATTTGGACATCAATTATCAACCCGACTTAAAAATTCAACTAGTCAGAGAAATCCTTAAGGAGAAAGTGTTATACTGAGGGAAATAATAGACAATCAACTGACCAAGCTGCTCATGTTGATAATTAAAATCCAAATACAGATCATAAGATCACACTGAATCTACACACGCAATATTCTAGCTGACTACATAGAAAGGAAGTAATCATTAAAAGAACAGATTTTTAAATTTTATAACTGCTAATGTCTATTTGACGTGTGATAAACATGGTGTTGGGTCACAAACTTGGATTAGCAATGCAGGAAAAGATGCCTCACAGGCACAGAGAATCACACAGACCTTGACATTAAGGTAATCACAAATGGCATCCAGTATGAACTGAATCTCATCCTCATGTGGTTCAGGAAGAAGAGTAATAGAGGTGTTGGAATCTGTGGTGCCAGCAATTGTTCGTCCCAACCATGGAAGCATGAAAACAACACGTCCATCCTTAGTTTTAGGAACAATCAAACCCATACCCTCAGGAGAGTAATAGTCAGGAAGTACGATATGTACACCGCTGCTTGGGCATATCATTGGTTTTGCATCTTGATCTGCCATCTTCCTTAAAGAGTCACAAAATGGCCCGGCAGCATTCACGACGACTTTTGCATATATATCAAACTCTTTCCCTGGTAACTTAAGAAATTCAGTAAGAATCACAACGTTCAAAAAGGAAATTACTAAATCATCATTTTTACACTACATTAGTATATAAACCAGTTGTGGAAGTGTGCGCTCATTCTACCTGATAAGTTGTCTCGGATTCTTGCACCAATTGTCCGATTGCTAGCCTCATCCTTCAACAAAGCAACCACTTCTGCATGGTTAAGCACTGCTGCACCAGCTACGGCAGCAGTGCACGCCAATCCAACATTAAGACGTGCGTCATTCATCTGCCCATCATAATACACCACGGTGCCCTTCAAGCTTTTATTGTTACCCTTCCTGGCAAGGGTGGGGAACAGCTCAACAGATTCTTGTGCCGAATAATATCTGGACACATGTAAGAGTCGTAGTCCTGCCACCAAATCGTACATTTTCAAGCCCATCCAGTAGTACACTACCTCAAACCAGTCAAAACACGGTGTCATGCATGGCAAAGCATGACAGAGGTGTGGTGCATTCTCAATAACCTGTTTACGCTCCTCAAGCGCATGGAATACCAACTTCAGCTGTCCATAGTCAAGATTAAACACGGCTTTCTCCAAGTACCGAACACCTAACATAATAAATTTTACATAAGCCGCCGGGATGGAATCAAAACTTAATTAGAAACTAAAATATTAAAAAAATTAAGATAATGATTACTAACTCCAAACGAAAAAAATTCGAACATCATATCGTGTCATATCTTACAGTCAATTCAGTTAGTATTTAAAAATTATCATAGCAATATGAACCGGCCAAATCATAGATTCAAAATTGAAAGATAACAACGAAATTTCGGATTATTCCGTCTCGATTTACTTTTAAGATCAATATAGACAAAGTTAAAATGTATCAATCTACAAAGTTGACGAAATTACATCGGCTCTGTAAATTAATCCACTCCTGTAGCTCAATTTCTCTTCAAGCACACAAATGCATTGACAGGAGGCCAAAACGACGAACGAAACAAAACAAAACGTCAACAGTAACATTAAGAACCGGAAATGACAAATTGAGAGGACAGGGAAATCCATGTAATGCAATTATGCAACACAATATATACAGACAAGTATGAAATATATATATATGGATACGTGTACGAATGTACATACGCAATACGCGTACCTCCATGAATTAGCTTGGTGGACCGCGACGACGTTCCAGAAGAGAAGTCCTCGCGCTCGACGAGGCCGATGCGGAGGCCTCTGGTGACGGCGTCAAGAGCGACGCCACTTCCGGTAGCGCCACCGCCGATGACGAGAATGTCGAGCGGGTTGGAAGCGCTCGCGCTAATCAGAGCGGCCTCCTGAGCCGCTCTAGACGGAACGACAGCGTTCGGGTCGCTGATCCTCTGGCGAACGGCGCCGAGGGAGGAGGGTCCATTGCCGCGGTCGTTGGCGGAGAAGGAAGGCTGGAGGAGAAAGGCGCCGCTTGCCGCGGTGGCGACGCAGGCGGCAGCTCCGAGCCGACGCAGGCGTGTGGCGGTGGCCATAAATTGAGAGAGAGAGAGAGAGAGAGTGGCGGGAGCGTGGGGTCGTAGAAAAAGGTTGTTTGCGTTGGGAATCGGTCGCGGGGATTTGGATGGAGTGAGATGAAATAGTGTCGTATGTGTTGGTTGAGGAAAAGGACCCACCGGATTCTTTTTTTGGAATTTGGATTACAGTGTTATCAATTTTCGTTAGGTACTATTTATATATAATTTTAAAATAAATTTTGATAGTACAATATAAGAAGATCCCAAAAAAAAAAAAACTAATGAAAATGGCTTGAAAACTTTGAGTTTTAATGATAAGGACAAAATAAAAGGTAAAATGAATAGTACCAGGATTGACTTTTTAATGTAAAAATATGATTTTTCGTTAAAGTGAACAGTATCAAGTGTTTTTCGTTAAAGCTCCCAAAAAAAATCCTACGAATATCCTTTTCTGTTGGTTGAAACTTGATAGAGTGACACTTCCCTTCCTTTGTCCTTTTTCTTATTTTTCCTTTTTTTAAAATAACAGCATGCCACTTTTTAATATATTTTTTAGGACTTTATCAACTCTGTTCTTTCTCAACTTGAAAAAAGGTAATTCTCGCTTTACTATCTCAATTATTATAAAATTTTAACTTTCATACATTAAAGTTTTTAATATCCTATCTTTATATCTAAAGCTTAACCCCGTCTGTGTAAGTTTATCTTACATTGCCGGTCCCAAGCCCGGGTAAAGGAGGAGGGGGAGGGCGTCAGGTAGTCGACAGCAGGCATTCCACAGTTACGTCAAATCGTTATGAAAATGAATCCAGAACGAAATCGCGCTAAAGCTAGGGCGTCACCCGTAAGTGGCGCGCTGTGTGGCCCGAGCACAGTGATAAGTGAGAAAGGGTCGTTGTATCTCCATCGGCACCCGGATGCAGTGTTAAATGAGCAAGGGGGCCATAGAAACTTCTTTTCGAACGACTTCACTCAAAGTTGTTTGGGAGCATATGCTCCTATCAACTTTACACAGGACACACAAAAGAAGTACTTTGATTCTATTGGACGGGGGAGGGTGAAGAAGCTAGGATAGAAGGGTAAAGTTCAAGAGAGTAGAATGCGTTTAGGAACGTGGAATATAGGAACCTTAACGGAAAAATCTATGGAAGTAGTGGAAGTTATGGTGAGGAGAAGGATAAATATTATGTGCCTACAAGAAACTAAGTGGGTTGGTCTTAAGGCAAATGATCTAGAAAACTCAGGGTTTAAACTTTGGTATTCGGGCACAAATAGAACGAGAAACAGTGTTGGCATCATCGTGGACAAGACCTTGACACAAGATGTTGTAGATGTCAAGAAGGTAGGAGATAGAATCATGCCAATCAAGATTGTAATAGGACAATAACTCATCAATGTGATTAGTGCGTACGCACCTCAAGTAGGGTTGGATACGAGTTCGAAGGAGAAATTTTGGGAAGACCTTGGAGACTTGGTGCAAGGAATTGCCCAGACGGAGAAGTTATTTATAGGAGGAGATTTAAATGGACACGTGGGCAGGGAGACAGGCAACTATGGAGGTTTTCATAGTGGCCATGGTTTTGGGGAGAGAAACGAGGATGGGGAAGCTATCTTGGATTTTGCAATGGCATATGATCTCTTCTTAGCCAACACCTTCTTTAAGAAGAGAGAAGAACATGTGATCACCTACAAGAGTGGGTCGTAAAAAACACAAATAGATTTTCTTCTAATGAGGAAAGGGGATCGTATAACTTGTAAGGATTGCAAAGTTATACCGGGAGAGAGCTTGGCTAATCAACATCGCTTGTTGGTGATGGATGTACATATCAAAATAGTGAGAAAAAAGAACAAGACTTGGAAGTGCCCAAGGACTAGATGGTGGAATCTAAAAGGAGAAAAACAAGCCATTTTCAAAGAGAAAGTAATCACCCAGTGTGGGTGGGATAGAGAGGGGGAAGCTAGCCAAATGTGAGATTCCATGGCTAGTTGTATCCGAAAAGTAGCAAAAGAGGTATTAGGAGAGTCCAAATGTTTTGCTCCACACCAAAAGGAATCTTGGTGGTGGAATGAGGAGGTACAAACAAAGGTGAAGGCTAAGAAAGAATGTTGTAAAGCCTTATACAAGGACAAGACCGATGAAAATGGTGAAATGTATAGAAGAATGAAGCAAGAGGAGAAGACAGTTGTGAGAGAAGCTAAGTTAGCGGCTTATGACGATATGTATAAGCGACTAGATACCAAAGAAGGAGAGTTGGATATCTATAAACTAGCTAGAGCAAGGGAAAAGAAGACAAGAGAGCTAAACCAAGTGAGGTGCATCAAGGATGAGGATGGAAAGGTTCTTGCTACAGAGAACGCGGTCAAAGACAGATGGAGAGGTTATTTTCATCATCTTTTCAATGAAGGACATGAAAGGAGTACTTTTTTAGAGGAGTTGAGTAACTCAGAAGAGTGTAGAAACTACTCATTTTATCGTCGAATCAGGAAGGAAGAAGTGGTTGTAGCTTTGAAGAAGATGAAGCATAGAAAAGCAGTGGGCCCAGATGATATACCAATCGAAGTGTGGAAAGTCTTGGGAGAGACAGGTATAACATGGCTCACTGACCTTTTCAATAGGGTTTTGAAAACGAAGAAGATGCCAAATAAGTGGCGAAAGAGTACTTTGGTGCCTATCTACAAGAATAAGGGCGACGTACAAAATTGCATGAACTATAGGGGTATTAAGCTAATGAGTCATACAATGAAGCTTTGGGAGAAAGTCATTGAGCATAGATTGAGGCAAGAGACACGGGTTTCGGACAACCAATTCGGGTTCATGCCAGGGCGCTCAACCATGGAGGCAATCTATCTCTTACGAAGATTGATGGAAAGATATAGAGATGGGAAAACGGATTTACACATGGTCTTTATAGATTTGGAAAAAGCGTATGATAGGGTCCCAAGAGACATTATTTGGAGGATTTTAGAGAAGAAATGAGTATGAGTAACATATATCCAAGCTATAAAGGATATGTATGAAGGAGCAAAGACTGCCGTAAGAACTTATGAAGGACAAACCGAAAGCTTCCCCATAACTATAGGATTACATCAAGGCTCATCCTTAAGTCCTTACCTTTTTGCGTTGGTAATTGATGAGTTAACAGGACATATTCAAGATGATATTCCTTGGTGTATGCTTTTCGCAGACGATATAGTGTTGATAGATGAAACTCAGGAAAGGGTAAATGCGAAGCTTAACCTTTGGAGAGAAGTGTTGGAATCTAAAGGTCTTCGCCTAAGCCGATCAAAGACAGAATATATGGAGTGCAAGTTCAGTGCAAATGGATGCCAAAATGAGTTAGGGGTGAGGATCGGAGATCAGGAAATACCAAAGAGCGATCGTTTTCGCTACTTAAGATCTATCTTGCAAAAGAACGGAGAATTAGATGGAGATCTCAACCATAGAATACAAGCTGGATGGATGAAGTGGAAGAGTGCATCCGGCGTGTTGTGTGACCGCCATATGCCACTGAAGCTCAAGGGAAAATTTTATAGGACGGTAATAAGGCCGGCGATGCTGTATGGCACAGAATGTTGGGCGGTGAAGCATCAACACGTACACAAAATGGGTGTAGCGGAGATGAGGATGCTTCGTTAGATGTGTGGGCACACGAGAAAGGATAAGATTAGGAATGAGGATATCCGAGGTAAAGTAGGAGTAGCCGAAATTGTAGGAAAGTTGAGAGAAAATCGGTTACGGTGGTTTGGACATGTGCAAAAAAGGCCTACTGACGCTCCGGTTAGAAGATGAGACTACGGGACAGAGGTTCAGGGCCGAAGGGGTAGAGGAAGACCTAGGAAAACTTTGGAAGAGACTCTAAGAAAAGACTTAGAGTATTTGGATCTAATGGAGGACATGACACAGGACCGAGCACAATGGCGTTCTAAGATTCATATAGCCTACCCCACTCAGTGAAGAAGGCTTTGGTGTATTTAACACAATACGTTGGAAATGAAGCAAAGTTTATTTATTGATATCTCCGATAAGTTACAAATATGTACATATACATGAGTTAAAATAAACAAACAAGAGGGAGCCTTCATAAAGGTTGCTTAGGAGAAGTCTCAGCAATCGGTAGAGCCCCAGAAAGTGAAGGCACCGGAGGGGGATCATTCGGAGCCTCAGTACTGGACAGAACCCTAGAAGGAGGAGGCATCAGAGGTTGATCATTTGGAGCTTCATTATGCGGTACAGCCCTAGAAGACGAAGGCAATAAATGCCTTTGGAACAAACCCACAAACCGCTGATGATCAAGTAAAACCTGACCATCAGATTCATTCATCTGGTCAAGCTTCCTCTTCATGTTTGTAGCATAGTTATGTGCGAGTCGGTGCAACTGTTTATTCTCATGCTTGAGCCTTCTAATATCTTGTTTGATACTCATCACTTCAGTCGCCAATGATTCAACTTGGCGGGTTCGAGCAAATAGGCGTTGGGCCATTAGACACAGAACCTGCACACTGAACACTCAGAGCCAGAGAATCCTTAACAGCCAATTCATCAGACCGTTTGGAAAGTAGTATATTATCTTTGGGAATGAAGGTTCCTGGCCACCACCGCAGCGGTCATATCATTCTTCATCACGAAATCCCCAACGGTAAGAGGACTAGTAGGGGATAAGAAGGATGGGCGCCATATGTTGTCTGGAGAAGACGTGGCTGCCTCTTCAACAAGGTTCAAGTCAAAACGACGGTCGGAGGGGCCAGACATTTTCAAAGGTGTTGAAGAGAGAAGAGGTCGGACAAATCAAGATCTTAGAAGTGCAAGAAGGGAGCTTCTACTGGTGAAGATTCAAGTGTGCTTTGAAACTTAATGCCAGCCTCTATAAAAATCTGCACTCAACGGAGCTTCAGAAATCGAAGAGGCGTCTGCCCAGAAATCGAAGAGACGTTTGCTTTCTCAAAAGCTGGGCTGCTCAGAGACCACGCGGGCCGATCTCAGAAATCGAAGAGGCGTTTGCTTTCTCAAAAGCTGGGCTGCTCAAAGACCACGAAGGCCGATCTCAGAAATCGAAGAGGCGCTTGCTTTTTCAAAAGCTGGGCTGCTCAGAGACCACGAGGGCCGATCTCAGAAATTGAAGAGGCACCTACTTTTTTCAGCTTTGTCAACACCTGTCACATGCACACTCAGCTTTGCTGAAATTACGGGCATTCTGTTGAAGATTTCTGGTGAAGTAGAAAGCACGTGAATCTTACTGTTCAATCGTCCACTTTTCACACGCACCATCAGCTCATAGGTACCACAGATAACTTTGCCAAAGATCTCTGACAAAGTTTAGACACGTGAAGCTTGCAGCTCCTACTACATCGTTATGACCAAGAAGGGTAAAAGAATAGCAAAGAAATAGCACTAACAAAGTTTAGACACATAAATTTTGAAGGTTTAGCTATCATATTATTACCCACAAGGGTAAAGGAACAACACCATTGCTGGATAATTGGAAAGTCCTTGTGTGTCAACCTCTCGAGAGCCAGACTCCCAACATGATTACTTTCTCAAAAATCGAAGAGACACCGCTCTCCGAATCTCGAGAGCCAGACTCCCAGCAGGATTGCTCTCTCAAAAATCGAAAAGGCACCGTTCTCCGAATCTCGAGAGCCAGATCCCCGACAGAATTGCTTGTTTGAAAACCGAAGAGGCACTGCTTTCTCAACTTCGAGAGCCAGATCTCCTTGGATAAAGCTTGTCTGTAATCTTCACACACAACATCAACTTTCCAGATACCACAGACCACTTTTTCAAAGTGCTCTGACACACGTGAAGCTGGCAGCTCCCACTACCGTGCTATGACCAGGCAGGGTAAAGGAATATCATTACTACTTGTTGTTAGGGAGACTCCTATATATGTCGACCCCCATTCTCAACGGACAGGCAGACCTGCAAAAATGCTCAACCCTTCCTCATATCTGAGAGGGCACTTCCAAAGAAGCCTCTCGAAATACTCAGCTTTCTTTCCCCCCGATAATACCTCTGCAAACAAGCTACACCAGAGCAAGAATATCTCATATCATAAGGGTTAAAAGCAAGAGTATCCCATATCATGCTTTTTCCCTGTCTTTTCCTTTGGCCTTGTTCTTACCTGCAAGACAAGGAGAAAGAGAGCAATCAGTCAGCACTTGGAATCAAGCTTCTAGTCAGGAACTGACTGCCTGGAACCCTTTACCTGATTACTTACTTGGCATTGCTCTCGAGTACTCATCTTTAACATCTTATGCTTCCAGAGAAGATACCACATCTGCCTGAGGAACCGATAGGGAAAGTAAGAAGGATATAAGGAAGCATGTGGAGACAAGCGTAACAGAACACGTGCCGATACATCTACTACTTTGTCAACAGCAAAAGTATCTCATATCAGCAGGGTCGAACATACTCTAGATTTGATGGACTTGTTTTGACCTTCAAATTCTTCAGTCGGCCTTATACTCTGGAGGAAACCAGAAAACCCTCCAGCCCAGTTTAAGAATAAGCCTGTGGAAAGTTACTTCTTCAAAAGCAAAAGTATCTCATATCATCTATTCTCATTTTCTTCTCTTTATCCTTCATGCTGCCTGCAAGATAGGGAGAATGGGAACAATGAGCCGGAACTCGAAATCAAACTTCTGATCTGGGACTGATTGGTTGGAGCTCTGATTGCTTACCTTGTCTGTCACCTCTTTCAGCAGATCCCCTAGCTCGGATACTTGGGGGACTCCTACTACATGGTTTGTATCGCGCTTGACCAAGCCTGAAACTACAAGTAAGCTTCAAGTGAAATTGATACATTACCTTGTGCATCTCCACCAGTTAAAGATACCACCCCTGGATGGAGGAAAAGTACTTCCAGAGAAGATGCCACATCTACCTATGAGACAGATAAGGCAAGTGAAGACGATACCACACTTCGGTACTTAGAAGTTTCGTGATTACGAGATTATTCTCCCACAATATTTCCTAATGTCATTTGTACTAAATCATTCATTTGTACTCACTAAAGGAGAGCTTGAACCTATGTACTTGTGTAAACCCTTTACAATTAATGAGAACTCATCTACTCTGTGGACGTAGCCAATCTAGGTGAACCACGTACATCTTATGTTTGCTTTCCTGTCTCTATCCATTTACATACTTATCCACACTAATGACCAGAGCAATAACTTAATACTTTC